TCGCCAGTCATCAACTCAGGCGTGATACTGGCGAATTAGTCGGGGCCACACACGAAATCGTCATAAATGGCTGTGCCAGCGCCACAGATTCACAATACTGGGGCTGTGGATTGGCACTATCTAGGCTGCCACTTAGACCGTGTCTGTTCTAAACGGACCCTTACTAAATTTATCATGGCCCTAGGTAGATTTATGAAAGGTAGAACCATGGTAATTTATGTATTTTATGTATTACAGTCTCTCGTCCGTCTTCGGTTCTAAAACTTTCTTCGTGGTATTCATTACACTCGGTCGAACTGTCTTTTTCACTATAGCATTCACCTTCACCAATATTATTTTGATTATTTCCCGCATTAGATGAAGATTGTGAATTAAAATTATTTGTTGCACTTAACCTATTCATAGCTTTTAATTTCCGTTTGAATTAAATAATTTTCCGATATTTTTGTGCGGTTAATCTACCCGCTAACAATTTCATGTCTCTATCCATATTTGGAAGAGGAAGTGAATAAATTTTTATAAAACGTAGCGGCAATAAATATAGTTATATACAAAACTCTATAATAGTATCTCTGTCAGAAACAGTTTGAGAGGAAAGATTAGCGAACACTATGTGGACATATAAAACGTAGCATCAAACAAAACTCTCGACCATACCTAAACCCTTCTAATTTTCTTAGATAGGCTATGATTTGGTAAACAAGTAAGGCCCAAACTTTTTTTTTCTTGGCAGCAAACGCTACTGATTAAACATAGCGTCAGACTAAATATCATTCTGGGCCATACTATGGCCCTTCTAAATTTTTTTAGATAGGCTACGTCTTGGCAAACAAGTGAGGCCCATACTTTTGTCTTGGCGTTAAACTGGCAATTTCTACCAGGGATTAATAAAGTAAAACTTTTTTTATTTTTTGCACCTTATTTAACTTACCAAAATATATTTAAATCAGTTTGGAGGACTGCATTTTAATGTTATATTTACTTTTGTTCTTTCCTCAAATGTTTCTTTCAATTTACACAGATTTTTCATCATTTTTCTCGATTTTCTAAAAAATTTAACGTAATGAAGCAAAACGGATCACGAATTCGGATTCAGTGATCAAAAATCTATAAGAAACAATTACTTTAGTTTGAGTTTATACACAAAAATTTTTTTTTGTGGTTTTGTGTTATTAAAGCCTAAACCAGAGCCAAGAGCAGGATCTTTGTGCTCGAACTTTACGTTTATTTAAAAGTATAAATTTGAAAACATTTTAAACACTTTGTTCCAAATATGTTTGATTTCTTGTAAATCATAAATAATGTTATAATTTTTAATTATTACTTTATTAATTGTTCCAAATATGTTTGATTTCTTGTAAATCATTAATAATGTTATAATTTTTAATTATTACTTTATTAATCTTGGAGATTTAAAATGTGTGTGTGCATCGTAAAAGTTTCACAATTACAAGAGCAGTGACTATATGTGACTATATGTACATTCGGGGTTTTTCATCTAATTTGGACATTTTAAATTTTTTACTTGATTTTGATAATATGAAAATATGTTAAACAGAAACATTATTTGTGTGTGTGTGTGTGTGTGTGTGTGTGTGTGTGTGTGTGTGTGTGTGTGTGTTGAGAGAGACAAATATTATGATAAGAAAACAATTTTTTTCAAAGTTATATTTTTTAAGGTTATAAAGTCACCGCATTGTAATAGCTGAGATATCAAAATTCTCTATACATATAATGATTATGTAATACGAAAAAACGTCAGAAAAAACTAATGGCTTTTCTAACGTTCTTTCGTATTATGAAAAACAAGTGAGCTATTTAAAATGCACAAGTTAAGTGGGACATCTTCTACACACATAATCATCAGTTTCAAATAAAATCCAAAATTAATCTCAATAGCAGAAAATGGTAACGACAAAATCAGAATATTGCATAATCTTGGTTACACAAAATAAGGATTGAGGTATAATAAATTTAATATTGTATAGTTACCTGTTTGGTTAACATTGACTATGACGCAATAATTTTCATCAACCACCTTAAATACATTTTTAATATTCATAAGTGTTTTACGTAGCGGTGATAGCAAAAAAGATACGTCAAAAGTATTGTTAGCTTCTTTTTGTATAATCGTATATGTTACTAATGCGGGAAGTTGTTCCATGTTTTCGTTGATATACGAAGAACTGAGATATGAGAATGATATCCTGTCATTTGTTGCGTTTAATGTCACGTGCAGTACAGGATAATAATTTTTCTTTATCCAAATGTCAATATATTCTTTTAAACTTAATACAGAAAAATAAGGAGAAAGATCGAAAGTTTGTATAATGTGCCATAAATCATTGGTGTTTATCGAACTTGACTGATTATATCTGTAAAATAAAAAATTTTTTTAAGAACATTTACCGTGCAAATTTTCACTTTTAAACACAAAATTATAATTTAGTGTATCAAAATATTAATATCTACATGTTTGTACCAGTAAATCAACAGTAATATAAATAATTTTTTTTATTTTGAAAGTTTTTTTTTATCTAGCCTTATATTTAGAAAGGATCAAGTTTGCTGTCAATAAAATTGTAGACCAAATCATGTCTTTGTAATTTCAAACTTTAAATTATATTATAATAATAAGCTTTGAATGTAACTTGTATACTGTTTTTTATAGTATAATGTTTTTTATTTATCTGCAGCTTTTAATATTAGTTTTCGAAATAATTCATATTAATTTGCAATAACCCTAAAAACCAATTGTATTATTTACAGTAATAAATATAATACTTTAATTTGAAAGATCAACTATATGTGATCAACTATATTGCTTAATATTTTTAAAAGAAGATAATTTGACAGGTTTAAAAAAGTTCAATTTAATATTTAAAAACAATCAATATCTTATTTATATTAAAGAAAATTATACATTAGTTTTAGATATAGACAACACGTTACTTGCTATTTTGTAAATAAAAGATAGTTTGACAACTTTGAAATGGTCTTAAATATAATACCATGCTCACTCATAGTAGAATTGAAGAATGTTATTTTTGTCCAATATTCAATTTCGTTACGTAATTATTATATCGTGAAATATTACTCACCTAGTGTATGCGCGGTTATCAGTATATGTGCGGATACTATTCCACATGTTTTCTTGTAGGATATGTTGTAATATATACCATAAAACGGGTGCTGTATCAATTAAAATTATGAAGTATTTATTACATACTTTAAAATGTTTTTTAATCGTAATAATATATAAATAAAGCTTGTAAGCAAATAAATTCTATTTTAATCTGTTTGTAGGTATATTTTTTCACATTTTATTTTATCTATGTACATTATGTATAAGTTTATGTATAAATACTATCAATATTTTAAAATTATATTTATTTTTATCATACATAGTCAATTAAATATATTAAATATATTTATTTTAACTTACGTTTGATATAATTAAGGAAAGTTTTATTTATTTGAACATCTAAGTTATTACTGTGTAGTATAGAATTATAATTATATGAAGGAATGTCAAAGCGAAGAGAATCTTGTAGTACTTGGACAATAAATAAGTCATGTATGTAGGATATCGACGAAATCTGAAAAATTTACTAAGTTAAAACTAATATTTAAATGCATATTATTTTTGCATTATAAATATGAATTTAGAGTTGGTAATGGCTGCTATTAAATTTTTGGTTGTTTTTGTTGTTTTATAAAACATAAATTTGTTATATATAAGAATATTAAACAACCTTTTTCAAGATATGCGCTGCAAAGTATGTAGTAAAACCTTCTATTGGCCAAGACAAATAATCGTACCAAAGAGATATTACTTGACGTGCTAGTAAGTTAGCCACTTCTATTTTGCGTGCAATGGAATCTAATGCTTCATTGTAAGTAATATCTTCTTCCCTAAAAATGGTTTTCAAGTATTACAATTACATCCAAAAATATTGCTATAATTATGCAATTTAATAAATTTGTATATTGTAGATATAGTACAAATATTGCAAAATTAAGTTGTCTCGAGTGTTTACTCGTTAAATTATTTATTTCTAAAAAGTTAAATAAACATTGAAGAATTTTAGGTTAAAAATTTAAAAATTATTAATTTTTAATTTTATGGCAAAGAGAAATAAAGTTACACTTAAGCAATCTTGCGATTTAAATATATTTAACAAACAATACATTTTTATGTGTTTATAAAAAATAAAATTTTAGTAATTGTATGTTTTTTCACTAACGTGGTCACACATTCAGATTATTTTAGAAAAAAGGAGAAGTATTTCACATTTTTCAATAAATAACATCACGAGTAAAAGACTGCATAAGTATTAAAATAAGAACGTTCGTGATATTTTTTTATATTTTTGATGCTGTAAATAATATTAACAACTCACTTTATTTATACAACATAATATGTACAATTTCTACACTTTACGTATTAAAATCTAAATTAAAATCTGACTTCATGTAAAGAAGTATTTAATTTCTTGTTTGTAATAAAAGTAAGAATTCTTTTTCATGATGCAATGCAAGTGATGTATACGATAGTTATTAAATGGTTTTCTGACAAAAAAATACTGCATGTTTTAGTTCTAAATTATTATACATAACTTTGTTTTTTAAATTTGTTTTTAAATGTTATCTTTAATAACTAATAACTGGATACTACCTGTGTAGAATGAGTCCCCATGTCTCAATGTTACCGTGTTGGGCCCCCGAAATTGCAACGTAATCTATTTTTGGTATTATCATCTGAATTCTTTTATTCAAAAAATGGAATACCTCTTCAATGATGAGTTGATTAAAATCCAAAGAGCGTGTCATGTTTATTCTACACCAAATTGTGGCATAGGAAGACGAAGTTTGAAATTGCAAAACTATATTAATAAATGTGGTTATCACAATCGTTAGACGTTTAATGGACATTAAAGGCGACTTGTGAAAATGTGTCCGTATCATGTTACTTTCTATATATTCTTTTCTATTTATCAACATATTCGATAGGGCTGTAAACCATATGTCATGCATAATAGAAATGTTAAAGGTGCTCTCGATCGCTGGTTCGTCCCAACATGGAAATATTTGTTGGGCTCTTATTACCTCAACACCAGTTTCTGTTAATCTGTTTCATTTTAAAATGGTTTATATAAAATTTTTATCATATATTGTCTGAGAGATAATTATTTAAACTTACACTTTTTCACCTGTGTCTTCTTCGTATCCGAGAAAAATTTCATCAAATATGTTGCGGAAATATATCATGTGTAAGATATATGTTCCAGGAAGTAAAATATTTACAGATGGGTTGGTGAAGTCAATATAAATGTGCGTTTCATTAATAAATGAATATCTCGGTACGTGTATCATTTTATTGCCATCATTGCTAGTCAAGTCAATTTTATATATCCCGAAATTTATTGAAGGTATACTTATATTCATCATTGGACGTGTAATATTGATGGTAATATTGCATTCGCCGTGCAAGATATTTCTATTAATGTCAAGTTTTATGTTGACATCATAATGCAATGGTACTAAACCAGCATTACTCAGCAAATGGTGATTAACTTCAGTGTCACTTTTTACAAATTGTGATATAGAGAAAAATGTAATCACAATAAATATTAGTTTGATATTTAATGAAATATTTCTTAATGCCATACTTAGTTTCGTTTACAGCATCTAGAAAAAACAGTTTTTATGTCGTAAAAACATACATATTTGCGACACATAGTACTTTACTTCTGCATCATGAAAGAAAGTGTATATAATAACGAGTGTAGCTATTCATACTAAAAGATATTATCAAAAATGTGTAAAACATAAAGATATATTATTTTTAGTATTAACAAAACATAATTTTAACTACAAGAAGTTTCATAGGTTCTTACGAAAATTATAATTTACCAAGAAATTTTTTTAAATATAAAACTAAAAAAATTAAAATGTATAAAACTTGTGTAATATTGTAACACTAAAAACGCCAATCTTATTGTTATTAAGGATCATGTTTTTAAGATTATCAAAATAATTATTGGTTGTTTTACTGTAACCATTACCTATATATAATTATTAATTATTTTATATTACTAATATTATGTCGCGCTTACTTATATTTGATTATAATTATTTTATGAAAGCATATATGAGATAAGTTACGCTGAAAAATTTGAGAATAAGAACAAGAAATTCATAACGACAGCAAAATACATTTTTTTAAATAAAGCTACATTTTAATCGTAGCATATTTACTTTCATATATGGGCTGTTGCAAGATTAAAATTTTTTTCCAGCATATATTATGTTGGAACAAGCGATTTAACAATCGACAAAAGCAATTTTCTTGATATTTTGTTTATTATTTTATCAGCAAACTTAATGAAAAAAATTATAGACATTAACGGATTTTTTATCACGCTTGGTGCGACACTATGTTCTTCTTTAACTACGAAAGTTAGCGAGTGCTGTTTCTTTATTATGCATATATGCTTAATTTATCGCACATTTATAATAAAAGTGGCACACGTAAAGAAAACAAATTGTTCAGAAAAGACGAAGGAAGGAATTGCGTTAATAATAACGATTTTTAATAATAATATTATGAATTAGTTTTTATCTCAAATGACGTCGCAAATTATAAATTATCTAAAGTTTGATTTTATGGAAAATAATTTCACATGTCTATGCTTAAAGAATAATTTTAAAATTAATTATATACGGCAGTATTAAACATAAAGTATTCTCGCGGAAAGTATTTGAATTCAATGTCCATCACTTACTTTTCTGATTGAAGGCCAATGTATTTAGTATACGATCCGCATATGAAACAATAATCGAAAAATTTTGACTTTTATCACTTTTCTTGTCAGTATTCTTGTATACGTACGATATGTATACTTGTATTGCATAAAACATATTATTTAAAATTTTGTGGTAAATTATAACGGTAAGAGTTAAAAAAAATAGGGTAGAAAGGTTAAGAAGAAACAGAAAACAGTAGTGAATAACAAGAGAAGGAAACAAAGGCGAGGTTAATCTTTGAAAGAGAGTGTTATGTTCCAATGAGAAATTGTATATTTGAGAAAGAATAGAATAGTATATAGTCGAAATGTGTAATATTATATGCGATGTAAGTAAGGCAATTGATGTAACTATGATTTTTGTAAGGTACGACAGGTATTTAATAAATAAATTTTACATTGGACATACCATTTTGCATATGATAATTAATTGTTATGTTTATCTCAGTTCACTTATTGTTTGTATAAAGCAAATAGGAAAAAATTAAAAGCAACATCAAAATTTCTATTATTGCTGAAGAAATTATTGTTAATTTTGAATTATTGTTAAAATTAATTGTTAAAATTAATATTGATTTTGAATTGAACCAAATTAATAAATTAAAATTGTACACAGTTAGTTAGAAGTATTTAGTTTGTCGTGACTCACCTATATTTATGAAAATTGTTAACAAATTACACTTTGTAACAACGGTACTGTTAACTAGTACTATTTTGAATCGCGAGTATCAAATTTATTTAAACCGATCAAATTGCGATTTTACTGTTTCGAGCAATCTCTTCATACTAACAATGAGAAGGATATTGGCAGTTGATGAAGCGACGCGGTCGTATCTCACGGCGAGTTTGCGTGTAACGTAAGAAAGGACCGATGATAAACACATAATGTCATACACGTATCTTCTAAGAGGTCGTGCAGAAAGAAATATTTTATAATTCATTAAGAAGCGAGCTGGTTTCGCTACACTATTGGTTGATATTGAGCATCGAAATGCGCATATACATATAGCTATTAACATTTGTAATTAAAAATTCACTTCACATTAAGTTTATAATAATTTTGAGTTTTAGTAACCATAAGTCATATAAGTCATATAATTTTTTTTATAGATTTTTGCAAAAATTTTGTGTAAAAAATCTTTTTTCTAAATTTTATTAAGGTGGTAAAATAGAGGTGTTCTTACTGCAAAACTTTTTTATAAAACATTTTTTGATATCTTGAATAATTTTTTAGATATATCGTGAAAAGCACAAAGCCGCTCTACATATAAGAGTTGGTTTTACTACTTAAAACCGTTTTTAGGCAGCAACTGAAAATTTTCTAAATTTATCTATTGACCCTTCTCACCCCCCCCTCCCCCTCCCTCTACATGTGTGTAAAGTTTCATCAAAATCGGAATTTTCGGGTTCGCGAGGTTCCTTTATAAGATTTTCCATTTTTGTCTCCTCATTATCAAATTTATCGATCTTTGTAGAGCGATGCTCTATCACAGGATATGCCTAGGAAAAAAGGGAAAAGAGGGCAGTGAATAAAGTGCAACGATCTATTATGCTAGTTGACCCGGTTGTAGTGTCATCAGTGTCATCGTGGTAACATCTAGGTCACCGCGTGTACACGCGGTAAGCTTGAGAGTTCCGGTGGTTCATTATAGTCCTCTTCTTAAATTCTCGGTGAATATTTTTGTACTGTTTGATTCTGGAGAACGTCGTACAGTTATCTGAACTCACTCTTATCTCAAAATACTCTTAATCATGAGACACATTCTTCCAACTTTTGTTCCAACTAATTGTTTTATTTCCCACGTCGAATCTTCTGGAAATCTTAGCAATTACTTGAGGAATAAAACTTTGTTTTATTCTTACTTCTAGAACGTAGCAAAATTGATAAAGCAAATTTGAAATAACAAAAAATACAATAGATATCAATATAAAGGGTCAATATAAATTTTTTTTAAATATAAGACAATTAATTTTCAGTGTATATATAATTTATTTATGTTTTAACAATTTAAAAGTGCTTTAATTGTTATTATAAAATCACAATTAATTATAAAGCGGAAGTTATCTTGTAACACAAGTTCAGAATTAATGATTCGAAAAGAATAAAATCTCATTAGATTATCGATCAATTTTAATAAACTCTGTTATCGGCAAACGAGTTCGCTATCTCGAATGAGCTCCATAAACTTTAAACTTATAGAAATTTTATAAGATAAACAAGAAATGATAAAAAAGAATGGATGCTAAATAAATTTGGTTATTTGCAAATTGTATCTTTTGCATTTTGTTAGCGAAGCAATAAAATTGATATTAAGTTTAACATTATAACTAAAATAAGAAGAAATAATCGGAAACAAGGAAATAAATTTCAATCTTAAAATCTCGTCGTCTTTTTTAGTTAAATAATAAAATTTTTTGTTTTATAAAGGAAAAATTAAATGTATGTTTCAATAATAAGAAATTAATCAAAAAGGGAAAAAGAAAAGAATTGAGAATGCTTATATTTTTAAATATTATATAAAGTTTAATATATGAAAATGATTATACAATGTGTTACTGCTAATACAAGATGGATATTAAATAACTACATTAATTTCATTAAAATGAATACAATTAGAAACAAGTTGATTTAAATTTTAACGTAAAAATATGAGAGAATTGATGAAAGAACTGTTACATAAACTGCAATTATTTAAAATAAATTAAACTTGGAAATAGGTACATTATTCATTTTAGCTATTGCAATGTTCTCATAAAGTCATCTTTTTACGTCCTACTGCTAAAAATAAACCTTAACGTCATATAAAGTTTCTTCTGCATTAAAATATTGTTTGCAACCAATCACAAAAATTTTTTTAAAACATTAGCGACAACGATTGCTCTCACAGTAGTCATTTTGCTGTGTATTTATAAGTGCTATTTTCCTGTTTTGTAATCCTGCAACGTCACATATATGATAAGATAAACATGTAATAAAAAGTTGATGCACCCGCAAATAAAAATCACGGATAAAATATTGCCACAAAGTAAGAGCTGCTGAGCATCGCGAAACCGGAAAATTGCGGATTATGAAATATTATCGCTTTTTCTCTTTCGGATTTGTCTTAACGTGGGAATGTGTGGTAACACGGATAATGGAGAAATTGGTGATTTATCATTTTTATATATTTTATATAAAGAACAATTATAATTTACTTATACAAACAATTATAATAATTTATTAATTTCTTATATTTTAATTTATAGACATATAGCGTTAACGAGCTGATATAAATTAAAAAAAAAATAATTTCAATCTTTTGATTTTTCTCGATTTTTTGTTATCTTTCTTGATCCTACTTAAGAACATATTATTTTAAAGAACTTAAAGAACATATTATTTTAGAATTATTTACGATTATATACAAAAATAGCAATATAAAAATGAAAAAACGGTTTGCATTTCGTAAATTTATTCGCAGATATTTGATTGAAGCATAATGATTAAATGAACTATATCTCGATATGAATGGAATATTCCACGTTATTTTAAACATCTTTGAATCTTTTTTCGACACCCTGTATATACAGAGACTTGCTTCAAGAAACCGGTTCCAAGCTCGCAAGATTCCAAAAGAAAGCAAAAGCGTTTACAGATTTTTTCACCGCTTTTCCAAAACCGGCTATGTTTTTGCGGAACTTCTTAGCGAAAGTAAAATTACGCAGAAAAAGAGATTTATTTGATCTATTTACGAGAATTATTATTATTATCGTTTATAATTAATGGAAATCGTATTATCTTCCAATACATGGTGCAAGGAATACGAACAAAGAATATCGAGTCGATAGTTCTAGCGATCATCTTCCGGTTTCCGTGTATGGCGACCTGTCGTCATGGTATTGACACCAATTCCTATCGCCAGTTAAGCAGGTCATTGTCTTTACCACCGTGGAATATCAATGGTCACGCTCAACGATTTATCTGCCTACGAGAAACTTCGTATCTTCACGGAACAATGCAGATCGTAAATCGTAGCGACGGAACTGAAAACGAAATTAAATCTTCTCACTTGCGCGTCGATGAATCGGTTTACGCGATTGTTTTCTCTTCGAACGTTTTCTCTCTCTAAGGTTAAGTTTCCCAGGTCACGTGAAAGTAGACTCTTTATGATAGTCTTACGATTAAACCGATTAAAATTTGATCGCCTTTCTGGAATGTCATAAGACTAAAGAAACTTGTTACATTTTCCTCCAATTTTAAAATAGAGCTGCTATTTTTAATTCTTTGATTATTGATACATTGAATTCATTCAATTATTGATGATATACTTATTCTGAGACAAGTAATACATTATTTTATAGTAGTATTTAATATAATACATGTTTTCACGTGTTTCTTAAATATTTGATTTCCTTGATTCAGCCGCCAAAGAATCTATATGTAATATTAAAAAAATATGTAGGAAAATCATATCCTGTTATAATTTCGAAAGCTAGTGAAATCGTGACATGTTTTAAATACACTGATGCATGGGATATTTTTAATTTGACTGTGGCATACTTTAGATAAGATATCTGCTTTTCAATCGATCTGATTACATCTGATTACATCGTATCCATGCAAATTATGTGACTAAGCCGGTTTAGTGTAATTTTCTATGATCTCACTCTCTTCCTGTGTGGCAGGTCGAGACGATGCGACCATGAAATTAAACGCGCAAAGGCAAAATCACAAAATAACCGTCGTATTTAACAACATCCACACGCACAAGGTCGCTAATTACATTTCACTCGAGCATGGAATCGTTTGAGATTAATACTTAACGTAGCGAACATCCGTAACTCTGCCGGCGTGTGATGAGAAGATCCGATATGAAAGCGGAAGCTAACGCAGAATTCCTTAACACACAGACATAAAAATCCCATTAAGATATATCTTCACCGCGTGCCATTCGAGTAATAAAAATCTGGAATAGAATTTATATAAGTAATCTGAGAATTAAGAAAGATATACACATGCGTGTTTTTGCATTTTTGTATTATTAGAATTCGCAAACCGGTGTTGCAATCAGAGCCAAAGAAGCTGACGTCATCCGTAGTTCTTGCTTTTGCACATGACAATGTACTGCGTGATTTATGCGAGGCGTCTGATGCATCGCGCTGGAACTTGTTTGCGCAGAAGGCTGCGAAAGATCATGAGATCGTCGCCACAGTTAGCTAGTTGCTTCCAGTCGTTGCCTACTCGTGATAGAAATTGAATATGAAGAACGCAAAACGATTCTGATAAATATCTTCCGTCGGCTGCCTCGATGGTGTATAATTAAAAGACGGACTCTCGGTACTGCAGCGCAGTAACGCATCATTATCAAAGATCTCTTTATCGCGATAATTTTCACGTAATAGTGGCGAAAGGATATGTCGGAAGCTCACTACTAACTCAAAAGATAAAGAAAATAGAAGAATGTAATTTTCTCACATAGTAGCGAATGCACGCGAGACATTCTGTGTGAATTGCACGTCATAATCCTCGTTGCAAACGCAGCCCATCAATGCATTATAGAGGAAATCACCATTAATTGTTCGTTAGATGTCTTTTTATATGCGCTGTTAATCTTTTCGATCAACTGGACAGACTTTCTCCAACTCGGTATCAAGAGTTTCTCGTGCGAGATAAAAAGGTCCATTCTCTTCTTGGCCTTTTCTTCCTCGCTCCACACGGAAACGCATAGAATAAACAGATTTCCTCTCACCGATCAGTAATCGAGTATCGACACCGGCAGATTTATGAAACAGTCATGAGCTAATAAAAGTTATCGCCGCGATCATATGCACGCCGACTTAAGCGGCGCCAGCGCACTCCTTTCCGCTTGTCTGCTTATTAAGTTTGCGAGATCTCGTTGGAAACGACAGCCCGCTAAGTATATATCGCTTTGTAAGAATGAAATCACGAGTGTCTTAATTAATATGCTGATATATATCTTCTTTACGTTGCTCGCCATATGTGTTAAATATCTAGCGACGTATTTGACACTCTCGAGAGCTGCGTTAAATATCGACGGACGTATTAAGTAAATCAATATTAATTTTATAAAGATTAAAAAGAGCAATATAGTTATTGATGCATGAAATTTTTATGCGTGAATATATTATAATATGTTTATCATAATTTTAATTTATATAACAATAATTTAATTTATATATAAAATTAATAGAGAATTACCTAAATTAGAAAATTAATAAAGAAATAATAACTGATAAATGACATAGTTTTAAAGTTTTGTCAAAAAGATTACTAAACTACTGCTTTATGTAAATCAAATATTTTCAGAATGTATGAAATTGCAAATAAAGTTTTGTTATTAATAAGTATAGTTATGTCGTATACATTATCTGAAAATTATACTATAAAAATTTAAAAAGTAATAATTTATTCAAGAAATTTCTAGAGCTGTAACTAAATATACATTTCATCCAGTACATCATTCTTTCTTTCGAATCCAATTTAATAGACAACAAAGCGACGCTAATTTAGAGTTCTCAAAAGGTCTTCTTCTGATCCGTTTAATTCAGTTTTAATTCATATGACCCATTCATATCCGTAAAATTCGCTTTTATCGCTTAATGAACTCTCTCATTATCGTACATTGCTCTTGCAATTACAATCGGCTAAATGTAGAAGGAATTTATCTTTCTTACTTCAGATGAATCATGTATAGCATTTGTTTTCTACAGAAAGACATTTGTGTGGCACAAATCGCTCTTACACACTCTTTATATGTATGAAAAAAAAACCTAAAAAGGTACATATATAAAATGTTTATTTCGCCTTAAAATGCTTTTCGGTTATTTGAAATTAGAAATCCAAAATATTTATATTATTTAATATTTATGAATGTCAAATATTTTTTAAATGTTTAAGTCCATACCTTTATATTTATACAAGTATTAGATTTCTATTTATAAAAAAATTTATAAGCTTAATATGTAAAAATTGTGGTAAAAATTTCGTAATCTTTTTATTAAATACCTACTTAAAAATAAAACATATACATATATAAATAAAAAATATATATATTTATGCAGTACTTAAAATTAAACATAATAGTATATAAAATAGCAAAAAAAGAGAAAGGAAGAAGAAAAACAAGAAAAACAATCATTATAAAATTTTTGCAAATAAATATGTCACAAATATAAATAAACAATAAAAAATATTTTTTGCAATAACATATTCCAACTAATTTATTTTATAAAAAAGTACACACTTGCGATTTATAAATATTAATTACTCTTAATATTTACAAGGCGTCAATTTTATACTTATCTTTTTATTTTATTTATATCAATTTATCAATATTGTAACCTTATATTACTTAAACCTATTAAAAATGAGATTAATATTTAACTAAATCATTCTGCTTTATGATTTAATTTGTAAATGTCCATTTTGTTGTGTGCATAACATTGCTTTTTCAAAGTATTAATAATTTTTATTTTCTTTTATTTATTCCATTACTTTCTACATTGCTATAACTTTGGTATATACTATATACATTGCTATATGCTTTGTCTTTTACAAATTCAATTGTTTGGCTATTTATTTTTGTATTTTCAAGCTTACAATACGCGTAATATTAGCCCAATGTTGGCAGCTGGATTTGCGATACTTGATAACAGTAAAGAACCAGTATTAACTAACTAACTAATATAAAATACATGTATATTAGTTCTAAGTAATATATCATGCCTCTATTAGCGATACAAAGTTTGCCAGTCGGAATAATAGTAACAACATTTTAATAGTGTTAAGTGCCAGAAATGGCATGCAGTGTTGAACCAATAATGGCTCGTATAACGGCCATGAATAAATCATAGTTTCATGCAAACTTTGGACTGATTGAACACAGACTCCTTTTACTTTGTTGTTGAAAGAGATCAGTTGTTGTCACGTTAACTGAGCGATCCATAGTTTGTGATTCGCCTTGCGAGATCCAAATTTCTTTTCTTAATTTTATGTTTAACAGCATCGATTAACCTCTTTTCTTTCAGATAAGTTGTCGCAAAGATATGTACCTAAAACAAATTATTTTGACAAAATCAATGAATGTAAAGTTTTTTTACCATACAGTCTACAACAGCATAATTTGCTGCGTTCAGCGTAATTGGATCAGATATATTATATACAGGGTGTTTTATAAGGTCCGTGCCAATGCTCGTGTACGGATAGAGTGCGGTAAACTGAATAGAAAACTCCTTTACCATTTTGCAATTTTCGCAATAGTAATTGAGATACTAATTAAAAGGAATTGACGAATAATCGCGCGTTGATCGCGGCTAGATCGTAGGCTGTACGCTCTAGGCGTGACAGCAATGAGAATCGCATGGTAACGAAAAATAACAACGCATATCACTCTTGCTCTCGCTACGTGTTATTTTTCGTTGCCATGCGATCCTCGTTGTTGTCACGTTTAGAGTGTACAGCCCACGATCTAGCTACGCGCAACGCGCGATTATTCGTCAATTCCTTTTAATTAATATCTCAATTACAATTGCGAAAATTGCAAAACGATAAAGGACTTTTCTATTCAGTTTACCGCACTCTATTCGCACACGAGCGTTGGCACGGACATTATGAAACACCTTGTATGTAGCAAATTACATATAAATAAGCTCAATGTTGAAAAGTCAAGAAATGAAAGTATTATTTGAATTGAAAACATACATCTTGTAATTGGTCTCTGGAATGCACATGTGTAATACTGATAATTAATATTGCAACTATATCAACATCCCTAAAATCAAAGTAACAGATTTAATATGCATATCTAATAATTACAAATACAAGAATATAAATCAACAGAAAAATTCATTACCAATTTTTACTTAATACGAATTGTCTGGTTCTTAAACTTAATTCCAATATGAAATAAAACACTGTCCAGTTCCTTACATGCTTAGCGACAGTAAGAAGAACTATATTAACACTTAGTTCTTGTTCTTGAATAAAATATTTATACTCTCCAGTTAATCTTAATGTTTGATTTAAATAAGAGGTAATAATGAAAGGATCTTTACAGCAAGTTAAGTAATCTAAAATTCTGTTATCAGATGTTGTCGTCCATTTTTCCCGTACATAGTTCCAAACGGTGTAGTTTGCTAACATTAAACCATTACAATATTTCCATTCTATCCATGTCAACCGACTGCGTTAGCAGAAAAAAATATTTTATACAAACAAATAACTTATGTATATCAGTGATAAAATAGTTTCTCAAGTTTAATGCAATAATGCAACAAAATTTTTTCATACAAATATTATGGTTTTAAAACAACTTACTTGTCTTGTACAGGATTTTCAAGATCTTTTATCAGTTGTAAAGTGGCTGTTTCCCTGCATTGAGCAGCATCGATAATACATGCCCATTTTGCGGCTTCCTCTCTTAAACATTTAGTAAGATCGCTTTCGTTCGGTTTTTCATCATATCCTATTATTTGCAAAACTCCATTCAATATTTTTTTCATATTTTCCTGAAAATTGATAAATAACTTGAATTTGAATTCTATTGTCGTAAAAATGTGTACGTACACATATATACATATATCACATATATGTATGTACTCATATATACATACGTACGTACACAAATATACATAAATCACATATATGTACACATATTTATTTAATTTTTTTTATGTAGAGTGTTCAAATACATAACTTTTTCTTATAGAAATTAGCCATTACCTACCGTTATGGGTGGAGCATGATCAAATGAATAGGCACAAGCCATGTATTCAAAAGCTTTAATCATGGGATACCATGCTACGTAATTCGTATTTTCTGACAGAAAGCTTACGATATTCCAAAACATCTTTAAACTGAGTCGGCGATGTATGAGAAAGTAAAACGCATCATCTATGACTTGGGCTTGATTGAGAACATGTACTGTATAATTTTTTCTCAAGCACTGCGCAAGTCTAAGCCAGCCCTCAGAATTATAATTAACACGATAATATCCTGTTATATAAGAAATTGATACTTTTATCTATAGATTCTCTGATAGAATTTATCAAAAAATAGTTTCTAACAATGTTTTTTTCCAAATATTTTTTAAAATAATTTATATTTTAATAAAATATTTTAATCACTTTGTTCCAAATATGTGAGATTTCTTGCAAATCACATTAATGCTATAATTTTTAATTATTATTTTATTAATCTTGGGGATTTAAAGTGCACCGTGAAAATTTCCCAATCGTTAAAAAGCTGTGACTATATGTACATACGAGGCATCTATTGGGCATCTTAAATTTCTCATCTGTTTTTGATAATATGAAAATATGTCAAAGGAAAATATTATTTGTTGGAGAGAGACAAATATTATGTTAAACAAAAAATTTTTCTTAAGTTATATTTTTTAAGGTTATAAAGTCATAGATCATTTTTAAATGGGATTATATGTTTTTATCATCACATTGTGATGGCTGAGATATCAAAACTCTCTATACATATGATTATGCAATACGAGAATACAGAAAAAAAACTGATGACTTTTCTGACGTTCTTTTGTATTATCAAAAATAAGTGTGATATTTAAAATACTCAAGTTAGGTGGAACACTTTTTATACACATAATTATTATCAATTGATTGATTTATTTAACCGTGTTTCGACAACTTTGCGTTCTATGTGTACTTTTATTATGTTTTTTTAACGTTTCGCTGAAATTGTACCTCTCACTAAATATGGCCAAAATAAATGGGCTGAAACGTTTGTTCTAACTAATTTTTTTTTAATGACACTTTACTGAGCAAATAATACCTGGCTCTGGGCTTATGTAGCTATTAAATATAATGTTATAATTTTATTATTTAGAAAACCCAATTAGACATTTTTATTATTAATAACATAATCATCAGTTTAAAATAAAATTCAAAATTAATCTTAATTAGCAGAACATAAAAAAGACAAAATCAGAATGCTGCATAATCTTAGTTACACAAATTAAACATTGAGGCATAATAAATTTAATATTGTATACCTGTTTGTTTCACATTGACTATAAGGCAATAATTTTCATCAACCACATTAAATACATTTTCAACATTTATAATTGTACTATATTGCGGTGATAGCAAAACTTGTACGCCAATAGAATTACCAACTTTTCTTTGTATAATCGAAAATGTTACAAATGCGGGAAGTTGTTCTATGTCTTTGTCGATATATTGAGAACTGAGATATGAGATTGATATCGTATGATATGTTGCGTTTAATGTCACATACAGTACAGGATAATAATTGTTTTTTATCCAAATATCTATATATTTTTTTACAGTAAAAGATATTTGATCAGAAATCTTAGTATGATTTAAATAAATTTGAATTATGTGCCATAAATTATCGGTTTTTACCGCATTTGTCTGATTATATCTGTAAAATAGAAATTTTTTTAAGACCATACACCATTCAAATTTTTACTTTCAAACACAAAATTATAATTATTAGTATATTAAAATATTAATTTACATGTTGATACAAGTAAATCAACAGTAATATTTATATGTATATATATTTTTTTCATTTGGAAAGTCTTTCTTAACTAGCCTTATATTTAGGTTTGGATTAAATTTGCTCTCAATAAAATTGCAGACAAAGATCACAATTTATCGAAATATCTTATTTGTTTATATTTACAGTTATGTTTTTGTAATTTCAAAATATATTAATAAACTCCAAATGTCACTTATATACAATATAATGTTTCTTATTTATCTACAGTTTTTAATATTGGTTTCCAAAATAATTATCATTAATTTGTTACAACCTTAAAAATCGATTGTATTATTTACATTAATAAATATAATACTTTAATTTGAAAAATCAACTATATGTTGCTTAAAATTTTAAACGGAGATAATTTGACAGGTTTTAAAAAAATTTGATTTAATATTTAAAAACAATGAATATTATTTTATTCATTTTAAAGAAAATATAGTTAGTTTTAGAAATGTACAACAAGTTATTTGTTATTTTGTAGATAACAGATGGTTCGACAACTTTGAAATGATCTTATATCTTATACCATACCCTATCATAGTAAAATTGAAGAATGTCATTTTTGTTCAATATTTAATTTTGTTACGTAATTATTATGTCGTGAAATATTACTCACCTATCAGCATACGCGCGGATACTATACCACATGTTTTCTTCTAGGATATGTTGCAATATATACCATAAAACGGGTGCTGTATCAATTAAAATTATGAAGTATTTATTACATACTTTAAAATGTTTTTTAATCGTAATAATAATATATTTTATAATAGGTTTATAAAAAGTTGGTAAACAAATAAATTCTATTTTAATCGGTTTGTAGTTATATTTTTCCATCCTTCTTTTTATTTATAATTTTATGTATAAATATTATCAATATTTTTAAATTATATTAATCAAGCATTTTTCTTTAAATATTTTAATTTAAACTTACGTTTGATGTAATTAAGAAAAGTCTTATTCATTTTAAAGTCTAAGCCATTATTGTTGTGCAATGTAGAATTATAGTTATAAGAAGGATTATCAAAGCGAAGAGACTCTTGTAGTACTTGGACAACAAATAAATCATGAATGTAAGATATCGACGGAATCTGAAAAATTTGATAAGTTTGAATATTTAAATGCACGGTATATTTGCATTATAAATATGAATTAAGAGTTGGTAATGGCTGCTACTAAATTTTTTTTAATTTTTTTTTCAATAAAATATTAATTTGTAATATATCAATAAGAAAGGAATATGAAACAACCTTTCTCAAGATATATGCTGCAAAGTATGTAGTAAAACCTTCTATTGGCCAAGACAAATAATCGTTCCAAAGAGATATAACTTGACGTGTTAGTAAGTTAGCCACTTCTATTTTGCGTGCAATGGAATGTAATTGTTTAATGTAAGTAATATCTTCTTCTCTGAAAATGATTTTTAAGTATTAAAATTATCCTAAAATATTGCTAGAATTGCTGCAATTTAATAAATTTGTATATTGTAGATATAATACAAGTTATTACAAAATTAGATGGACTTGAGTACTGATTTGTTAAATTATTTTTTTCAAAAAAAGTAAATAAACATTTAACAACTTCAGATTGAAAATTTAAAAAATTTTTAAATTAATTTTTAATATTATAACAAAGAGAAATAAAGTTACACTTTAGCAATCATGTATTTTCATATATATTTAACAAACAATATATTTTTATGTGTTTCTAAAAATAACATTCTAATAACTGTGTGTTTTTTCACTAACATGGTCACACATTTAGATTATTTTAGAAAAAGGAGAACTATTTCAAACATTTTTGAATAAATAACATCACGAGTAAAAGACTGCATAAGTATCAAATTAAGAAAGTTTATATTTTTCTATATTTCTGATGCAATGAATAATATTTAACACTTGTTTTATTTATACAACGAAAACATACAATTTCCATATTTTACCTATTAAAATCTAAATTAAAATCTCATTTGAGGTAAAAAATATTATTTTAATTTTCTGTTTATAGTAAAAGTAAGAATTCTTTTTTATGGTGCAATGCAAGTGATAGTTATTAATTGGCTTCTTCATATAAAAATACTTAATATTTTTATTTCTAAAATATTATAGATAACTTTATTTTTTAAATTTAATTTTAAATGTTATCTTTAATAACTAATAACTGCATACTACCTGTGTAAAATGAGTCCCCATGTCTCAATGTTCCTATGATGCGTATCCCAAATTGCAATGTAATCTATTTTTGGTATTTTCATCTGACTTCTTTCATTCAAAAAATGGAATATCTCTTCAGTGATGAGTTGTGCAAATCCGACATGGTGTGTAAATCCTATATTGTGTGTCATGTTTTTTCTACACCAAATTGTGACACGAGCAGGCAAAGTTTGCGATTGGAGAAAAATATTAGTAAATGTGGTTATCACAATCGTTAAACTTTGAATGGGCATAAAAGGCGACTTGTGAAAATGTGTCCATATCATGTTACTTTCATCTATATATTCTTCTCTATTTATCAACATATTCGATAGGGCTGTAAACCATTTGTTATGCATAATAGAAATGTTAAGGGTGCTCTCGAACGCTGGTTTGTCCCAACATGGAAATATTTGTTGGGCTCTTATTATCTCAACACCAGTTTCTGTTAATCTGTTTTATTTTATAATGGTTTATATAAAATTTTTATCATATTTCGTCTGAAAATTAATTATTTAAACTTACACTTTTTTACCTGTGTCTTCTTTGTATCCGAAAAAAATTTCATCAAATATGTTGCGGAAATATATCATGTGTAAGATATATGTTCCAGGAAGTAAAATATTTACAGATAGTTTGGTGAAGTCAATATAAATGTGCGTTTCATTAATAAATGAATATCTTGGTACGTGTATCATCCTATTGCCATCATTGCTAGTGAAGTCAATTTTATATATCCCGAAATTTATTGAAGGTATACTTATATTCATCATTGGACGTGTAATATTGATGGTAATATTGCATTCACCGTGCAAGATATTTCTATTAATGTCAAGTTCTATGTTGACATCATAATGCATTGGTACTAAACCAGCATAACTCAGCAAATGGAGATTAACTTCAGTGTCACTTTTTACAAATTGTGGAATAGAGAAAAATGTAATCACAATAAATATTAGTTTGATATTTAATGAAATATTCCTTAATGCCATACTTAGTTCCGTTTACAGCATCTAGAAAAAACAGTTTTTATGTCGTAAAAACATACATATTTGCGACACATAGTACTTTATTTCTGCATCATGAAAGAAAGTATATATAATAACGAGTGTAGCTATTCATACTAAAAGATATTATGAAAAATGTGTAAAACATGAAGATATATTATTTTTAGTATTAACAAAACATAATTTTAACTACAAGAGGTTTCATAGGTTCTTACAAAAATTATAATTTACCAAGAAATTTTTTTAAATATAAAACTAAAAAAAATTAAAATGTATAAAATTTGTGTAATATTGAAACACTAAAAACGTTAATTTTATTGTTATTAAGAATCATGTTTTTAAGATTATCAAAATAATTATTGGTTGTTTTACTGTAACCATTATATATAATTATTAATTATTTTATATTACTAATATTACGTCGCGCTTACTTATATTTGATTATAATCATTTTATGAAAGCATATATGAGATAAGTTACGCTGAAGAATTCAGAATAAGAAAAAAAAATTCATAATGTCATTGAAATACATTTTTTTTTAATATACTGTTACGCCTGTGCTTTTTGCCGCTGATGCTGTGTGTTACAGCTAACAAACCGATCGATATTATCGATTGGTCCAATGTCATATGGCATTTGTAAATATACAAGAGTTGTTTTTATATTTGTTGTCAAGACGATATCGATTAGCAGTTTAAAGGATCTCTATGACAGTTTGTAAACAAGCTGTCATATGTCAGATTTTTGGTAGCTGTCTGCTCGGGCGGACGTATATGACAGCTCCGATCTTTCAATCTTATTTTTGGTTATTTATTGTATGAGTTACTGTTGAGTTACTGTTCTTATTAAAGTGTTCTCTGTTTTATTGAAACATTGTGTTGTGTTCTTTAATTTCGCGAGTTCCGTTGACGCGTGTGATATCTCGTTCTGCGGGCGCAACAATACATTTACAGAAAACATGTAAATATGCTACATTTTAATCGTAGCATATCTACTTTCATAGATGGGCTGTTGCAAGATTAAAATTCTTTTCAAACATATCTTATGTGGAAGCAAGCGATTTATCGATCGACAAAAGCAATTTTATTTATATTTTTTTTACTGTTTTATCAGCAAACTGAATGAAATAAATTATAGACGTTAATAGACTTTTTTTATCACACTTAGTGCGGCACGTATGTTTTTCTTTAACTACAAAAGTTAACATTTGCTATTTCTTTACTGTGCATATGTTTAATATATGCGCACACTCGCAGTAAAAGTGGCACATGTAAAGAAAATAAATTGTTCAGGAGAGAGGAAAGAAGGAATTGCGTTGATAATAACGTTTTTTATTAATAACATTATGAATTAGTTTTTATCTCAAATAATGTCGCAAATTATTAATCGTTTAAAGCTTGATATTACGGAAAATAATTTCACATGTCTATGCTAAAACAATAATTTTAAAATTAATTATTTACGGCAGTATTAAACATAAAGGATTCACGCGGTATTTGAATTCAATGTCTATCACTTACTTTTCTGATTGAAGGCCAATGTCTTTAGAATACAATCCGCATATAAAGCAATAATCGAAAAATTTTGACTTTTAACACTTTTCTTGTGGGTATACTTGTATACTTACTTACGATATGTATACTCGTATTACACAAAATATATCATTAAAACTTTTTGTTAAATTACAACGATAAGAGAGGAAAAAAATAGGGCGAAAAGATTAAGAAGGAACAGTAGACACAAGAGAATAACAAGATAGAGAAGGATACAAAGGCAAGGTTAATCTTTGAAAGAGAGCGTTACGTTCCAATGTATGAGAAATTGTATGTTAGAGAAAGCATAGTATATAGCAGAAATGTGTAATATATGCGATGTAAGTAAGGCAATTCATGAAACTAAGGATTTCTGTAATGTACGACGTGTATTTAATAAATAAATTTTATGTTTGAGATATCATTTTACATGTGATAATTGATTGTTACGTATATCTCAGTTGATTTATTATTAGTATAAAAGAAATAAAAAGAAATTTAAAAAAGCGTTAAAATTTTTATTAATGCTGAAAAAATTATGTCAATTTTGAATTTATTGATAAAATTAACTGCTAAAATCAATGTTGATTTTGAATTTAACCAAATTAATAAATTAAAATTGTACACAGTTAGTTAGAAATATTTAGTTTGTCGATACTTACCTATATTTATGAAAATTGTTAACAAATTACACTTTGTAACAACAGTATGCAAACTAGTACTATTTTGAATCGCGTGTATTAAATTTATTTGAACCGATCGAATCACGATGTGACTGTTTTGAGCAATCTCTTCATACTAACAATGAGGAGGATACAGTTGATCAAGCGACATGGCGAGCTTGCGCGTAGCGCAAGGAAGGACCGATATGATAAACACATATTGTTATACACTTATACTTATATTATCATCTATAAGATATTAAAAATATTGAAATATTTTACTTATTAAAAAAAACTTTTGTGTATTTTATTTGCATTATTTTAGAAAAAATATATCGGAACATAACGCCAATCAAAATTATCTTCTTAATGACTAGAAAAATAAAAAATTGTTTTATATTGTATTTCATACAAAAAATGTATTATTTAATTATTACAGTACTGATGACAATAGAAATTAAAATAATGTTTAACGCTAGAAAATTTGACATCTTACTACAATGAATCACATGTTAACATAATGTTAATTAATATCTCATGTTTAGTATTAATACAATTAATATCTCACGTTTATATTAATACAAGCGAATATTATGTTATACTAATATATTGTACTACTCACTGTAATATATTAAATATACTAAATATAGTATACTTCCACTTTTCTTAAGAAATGAACTGTCAAAGTATGTAACATTCGCAATGACATCCACTCGATAACAACGCACAGCGCGCATTGAGGTAGTCATTCAGCATCAGAAAAAGTGACAATAATAAAATATTATCTTGCCCTTTTTAAAGAGTGAATTCTTAAATATAAAAGTACAATTTATTGCATATTTGTATAAAAAAATAAGTAGAAGATTAATGTGCGTGATAATTATTTTTTCGCTGTTATAATTTGAATGTACTTTGTTAAAAATCAACTTGTGTGCAACTCTGCTGCAGCGCATCATGCCGGTGAGTCAATTTAACTTGTTTTATTTTAATGTCATTTAAAAAAATAGATTTTAAAATAATGTAAAATATACAAAATAGAAAATATACAAAAGTTTCAGACTAGCAGTATTACGTTAATCACAGATTTCTGAAACTTCTTATATAGTAATGATATAGAAATTAATATGCGACGTGCCTAAGCGCGTAAATTTATGATAATTTGATTAATCAAGGTTTAAACACTTTTCATTTAAAAAATTAGTGCAATTTCGACATTTTGGCATAAAAATGTTTATCTTTAAATGACCTTAGAATTCTTCTATAAAGCGTAATATTTGGTCTCACAGCCGGATTTAAAGAAGTGGGGGCCCCGGAACGGCTGAATCGTTGATTCGTAAGAGATCAAAATCATTGAAAACTCATTTAAAAATTTGTCAATTTAAAAAAGTTGGAAATACATATTTTAATATTATTACAACAAATAGTTATAATATATTTAATGATGCAAACTGCAATGTTTGCGAAACTCTGGCATCCAAAATGCACATCGCGGTCATCATCTGGAAACCAATGGCGTATATTTAAAAAATATTTGATACATTTCCAAAACATATGTCAAATATACGTATATAGATTTTTTAACCAAATTTTCTTTTTAATCAAGTTTTGTTTGTGGGGGTCTCCAATTTGTGGGGGTCCCTGGGAGGTCGCCCTGTCCGCCCACCCTCAAATTCGGCACTAGTTGGTCTGGTATATTTTGTATATGTGATATGCATATGTAAAATATTTTCAATCATCTTGAAATGCTTTTTGATTATTTACAATCAGTATTTTAAAATATTGATTTATAGTTATTTAATATAGTTATTTAATATTTATGAATGTTACATATTTTCTATATGTTTAAATCGATAATTTTTTATATTTATACAAGTATTAGATTTTTATTTATAAAATAATTTATGAAAGTTTAACATGTAAAAAATTTTGGTAAAAATTTTACTTTTTTTTTAAATGTCTACTTAAAAGCAAATATGAATTGTATATTTCTATGCAGTATTTGAAATTAAATATAATATTATATAATGTGGCAAACGAAAGAAAGAGTCCGAAAAAATTGGAAATATTATTTTCCGCAATAATATATTTCAACTAATTTATTGAATAATAATGTACACTCGAGATTTATAAATATTTATTACTTTTAACCTTCCAATGCGCCAATTTTATTCCCACTTTTTTATTTATTTACATTTATCAATGTTGTTCGTCATTTGAACCTATTAAAAATTGTATTAATATTTAACTAAATCATTCTGCTTTATGATTCAATTTGTAAATGTCCATTTTGTTGTGTGCATAACATTGCTTTTTCAAAATATTAATAATTTTTACTTTTTTTTATTTATTCTATAACTTATTTATCTATAACTTATCTATTATAATAACTTATCTATTCTATAACTTTCTACATTGCTATAACTTTAGCTATATACTATTTACATTGTTATATGCTTTGTCTTTTACAAATTGTTTGGCTATTAATTTTCGTATTTTCAAGCTTATAATACGCGTAATATTAGCCTAATGCTGGCAGCTGGATTTGCGATACTGGACAACAGTAAATAATTAGTATTAACTAACTAACTAATATAAAATACATGTATATTAGTTCTAAGTAATATATCATGCCTCTATTAGCGATACAAAGTTTGCCAGTCGGAATAATAGTAACAACATTTTAATAGTGTTAAGTGCCAGAAATGGCATGCAGTGTCGACCCAATAATGGCTCGTATAACGGCCATGAATAAATCATAGTTTCATGCAAACTTTGGACTGATTGAACACAGACTCCTTTTACTTTGTTGTTGAAAGAGATCAGTTGTTGTCACGTTGACTGAGCGATCCATAGTTTGTGATTCGCCTTGCGATATCCAAATTTCTTTTCTTAATTTTATTTTTAACAGCATCAATTAGCCTTTTTTCTTTCAGATAAGTTGTCGCAAAGATATGTACCTAAAACAAATTATTTTGACAAAATCAATGAATGTAAAGTTTCTTTACCATACAGTCTATAACAGCATAATTTGCTGCGTTCAGCGTAATTGGGTCAGATATATTATATATGTAACAAATCACATATGAATAAGCTCAATGTTGAAAAATCAAGAAATGAAAGTATTATTTGAATTGAAAACATACATCTTGTAATTGGTCTCTGGAATGCACATGTGTAATACTGATAATTAATATTGCAACTATATCAACATCCCTAAAATCAAAGTAACAGATTTAATATGCATATCTAATAATTACAAATACAAGAATATAAATCAACAGAAAAATTCATTACCAATTTCCACTTAATACGAATTGTCTGGTTCTTAAACTTAATTCTCAATATGAAATAAAACACTGTCCAGTTCCTTACATGCTTAGCGACAGTAAGAAGAACTATATTAACACTTAGTTCTTGTTCTTGAATAAAATATTTATACTCTCCAGTTAATCTTAATGTTTGATTTAAATAAGAGGTAATAATGAAAGGATCTTTACAGCAAGTTAAGTAATCTAAAATTCTGTTATCAGATGTTGTCGTCCATTTTTCCCGTACATAGTTCCAAACGGTGTAGTTTGCTAACATTAAACCATTACAATATTTCCATTCTATCCATGTCAACCGACTGCGTTAGCAGAAAAAAATATTTTATACAAACAAATAACTTATGTATATCAATGATAAAATAGTTTCTCAAGTTTAATGCAATAATGCAACAAAATTTTTTCATACAAATATTGTGGTTTTAAAACAACTTACTTGTCTTGTACAGGATTTTCAAGATCTTTTATCAGTTGTAAAGTGGCTGTTTCTCTGCATTGAGCAGCATCGATAATACATGCCCATTTTGCGGCTTCCTGTCTTAAACATTTAGTAAGATCGCTTTCGTTCGGTTTTTCATCATATCCTATTATTTGCAAAACTCCATTCAATATTTTTTTCATATTTTCCTAAAAATTGATAAATAATTTGAATTTGAATTCTATTGTCGTAAAAATGTGTACGTACACATATATATACATATATCACATATATGTATGTACTCATATATACATACGTACGTACACAAATATACATACATCACATATATGTACACATATTTATTTAATTATTTTTATGTAGAGTGTTCAAATACATAACTTTTTCTTATAGAAATTAGTCACTACCTACCGTTATGCCTGTGGCATTATGAAATGAATAGGCACAAGCCATGTATTGAAAAGCTTTAATCATAGGATACCATACTACATAATTCGTATTTTCTGATAGAAAGCTTACGATATTCCAAAACATCGTTAAACTGAGTCGGCGATGTATGAAAAAGTGAAACGCATCATCTATGATTTGGGCTTGATTGAGAACATGTACTGTATAATTTTTTCTCAAGCACTGCGCAAGTCTAAGCCAGCCCTCAGAATTATAATTAACACGATAATATCCTGTTATATAAGAAATTGATACTTTTATCTATAGATTCTCTGATAGAATTTATCAAAAAATAGTTTCTAACAGTGTTTTTTATAAATACTTTCTTAAATTATTTATTTTTTAATAAAATATTTTAAACACGTTGTTTCAAATATGTGAGATTTCTCGTAAATCGCATTAATAATGCTATAATAGTTAATTATTATTTTATTAATCCTAAGGATTTAAAATGCACGGTGAAAACACAATCATTAAAGAGTTGTGACAACATGTACTTATGAAGTTTTCCATCTAACTTGGCCATTTTAAAATTTTTACGTGTTTTTGATAATAAAAAAATGTCACAGATAAACATTATTTGTTTGGGAGAGACAAATATTATGATAAGCAAAAAATTTTTTTTTAAGTTATATTTTCAAGACTGTGAAGTCATCGATTATTATTTTTAAACGAGATTAGATGTTTTTATCACTGCATTGTAATAGCTGAGATATAGAAACCCTTTATACGTATGATGATTATGTGATACGGAAAAAACTAATGACTTTTCTGACGTTCTTTCGGATTATCAAGAGCAAGTGAGATATATAATCCAAACTTAATCTTAATTAGCAGAAAATGGAAAAGACAAAATCAGAATGTTGTATAATCTCGGTTACAGAAAATAATGATTAAAACATAATAAACTAAATATTATATATGTAGTTACCTGTTTGGTTAACATTGACTATGACGCAATAATTATCATCAACCACCTTAAATACATTTTTAATATTCAAATGTGTACGTTGTTTCGGTGATAAAAAAAACAGTGCCTTAATAGTATCGTCAACTTCTCTTTGTATAATCGTAAATGTTATTATTGCGAGTAGTTGTTCCATGTCTTCGTCGATATACTGAGAACTGAGATATGAAAATGATATCGTGTCATCTGTAGTGTTTAATATCACGAGCAGTACAGGATAATAATTTTTCTTTATCCAAATATCTATATATTTTTTTACATTGAAAGGTGTTGAAGAATAAATCTTAGTACGATTTAAATATCTTTGCATAATGTGCCATAAATCATCGGTCTTTACCGCATTTGACTGACTATATCTGTAAAATAGAAATTTTTTTAAGAACATACACCGTGAATATTTTTACCAGTAAATACAAAATTATTATTTAATGTATTAAAATATTAATTTACATGTTTGTATGTAACAGTAATATGTATATCTTTTTCCTTTGGAAAGTCTTTCTTTATCTAGTCTTACATTTAAAATTTATCAAAATTGTAGACAAAAATGACAATTTATAAAAAAATATCTTATTTGCTTACATTTAATATTATTTATTTTACATATATTTGTTCATATTATAAAATATTACTCACTTATTAGTATATATACGTATACTATACCACATGTCTTCACCTAAGATATGTTGTAATATATGCCATAAAACGGGTGCTGTAACAATTAAAATTATGGAGTACTTTTACATACTTTAATATGTTTTTTAATTGTAATAATAATATATATAAAGTTTGTTAACAAATAAATTCTATTTGCAGTTATATTTGTCCATACTTCCATTTATTTATAAATTCATGTATAAATATTTTCAATATGTTAAAATTATATTTATTTTGATGAAACATTTTTCTTTAAATATATTTATTTAAACTTACGTTTGATATAATTAAGAATAGTCTTATTTATTTGAACATTTAAGTCATTACTGTGTAGTGTGAAATTATAATTATAAGAAGGAATGTCAAAGCGAAGAGATTCTTGTAGTACTTCGACAAGGAATAAATGAATGTAAGATACCGATAGAATCTGAAAAATTTGATAAGTTGAAAGAAATATCTAAATGCATGGCACATTTGTATTATAAATATGAATTTAGAGTTGATAATAGCTGCTGCTAAATTTTTGGTTGTTTTTGTTGTTTTATAAAATATAAATTTGTAATATATCAATAATATACAAGAATATTAAACAACCTCTCTCAAGATATACGCTGCAAAGTATGTTGTAAAACCTTCTATTGGCCATGACAAATAATCGTACCAAAGAGATATTACTTGATGTGCTAGTAAGTTAGCCACTTCTATTTTGCGTGCAATGGAATCTAATGTTTCATTGTAAGTAATATCTTCTTCTCTGAAAATGGTTTTCAAGTATTAGAATTACATTGTAAAATTTTGCTAAAATTATGCAATTGAATAAATATGTATATTGTATATATAATTTAAATTATTGCAAACCTAGTTGGTCTAGACCTGATGTTACATTATCTATTTAAAAAGTGTTAATTTTTAATTTTATAACAAAAAGGAGTAAAGTTATACTTAAGCAATCTTGTCTTTTTGTGTATATTTAATAGACTATATATTTGTCTGTGTTGATAAAAAATAACATTGTAATAATTGTGTGTTCTTTCACTTATATAATCACACATTCAAATTATTTCAAAATAAAAAAGAAATGTTTTGAACATTTTTGAATAAATAACATTACGTGTGAAAGACTGTAGAAGTATTAAATTAAGAACGTTCATAATATTTTATATTTTTGATGCAATAAATAATATTTATAACACTCGTTTTATTTGAACAACAAAAAACATACAATTATTTTTCATATTTTACATATTAATATCTAAATTAAAATCTAATTTGATGTAAAAAAAGATTATTTTAATTTTTTGTTTAAAATAAAAATACTTTTTTGAGATGTAATGCGAATAATGTATATGATAGTTTTTAATTGACTTCCTGACATAAAAATACATATATTTTTAGTTCTAAACTATTATAGATAGTTTGGTTTTTTAAATTTGATTTTAAATGTTATCCTTAATACCTAATAACTGGATACTACCTGTGTAAAATGAGTCCCCATGTCTCAATTTTACTGTGTTCGGCACCCAAAATTGCAACGTAATCTATTTTTGGTATCATCATCTGATTTATTTTTTTCAAAAAGTAGAATATCTGTTCAATGATGAATTGTGCATATGCCATATTGCGTGTAATGTTTTTTCTACACCAAACTGTGACATGAGAAACAAAAGGTTGCGGTTCCAGATAAGTATTAGTAAATGTGGTTATCACAATCGTTAAACGTTGAATGGACATGAAAGGCGACTTGTGAAAATGTGTCCACATCATGTTACTTTCACTTATATTTTTTTTTCTATTTATAATCATATTTGATAGGGCTGTAAACCATTTGTCATGCATAATAGAAATGGTAAAAGTGCTCTGGAACGCTGGTTCGTCCCAACATGGAAATATTTGTTGGGCTCTTATTACCTCAACTCCTGTTGCTGTTAATCTGTTTCATTTTAAAATGGTTTATATAAAATTTTTATCATATTTTGTCTGAGTGAATTATTTAAACTTACACTTTTTCACCTATATTTTCTTCGTATTCGACATAAATTTCATCATATATATTGCGGACATATATCATCTGTAAGATATACATTCCAGGAATTAAAATATTTATTGCTGTGTTCGTGAGGTCAATACGAATGTGCGTTTCATTGATAAATGAATATCTTTGCACGTGTATCATCCTGTTGCCATCATTGATAGTCAAGTCAATTTTCAGTATACCGAAATTTACTGATGGTATACTTATATCTGTCATTGAACGTGTGATATTGATGGTAATATTGCATTCGCCGTAAAGGACATTTCTGGAGAAGTCGAGTCTTATTCTGACATCATAATGCAATGGTACTAAACCAGTATAATTCAACAAAGTGTGATTAACTTCAGTGTCACTTTTTATAAATTGAGGAATAGAGAAAAATATTATCACGATGAATATTAAATCGATATTTAATGATACATTTCTTAATGCCATAGTAAGTTCCGTTTAAAGCATCTGAAAAAAAATTTATCGCAAATGATGTCGCAAATTATAAATTGTTGGAAGCGTTTGATTTTATGGAAAATAATTTAACAAATCTACGCAATAGTCTTACACAATAATTTTAAAACTAATTATTTACGGCAGTATTAAACATAACGATTTCACGCGAACATGTTGTATTGTTTTGAATACAACGTCTGTCACTTTTTTTATTCAAGGCCAATGTATTTAGAATACGATCCGCATATAAAACAAAAATCAAAAAATTTTGATTTGTGTTAGTTTTTTTGCGGGTGTGCTTAATGTAGACTTGCACTGCACAGAATTTATCATTAAGAACTGTCTGTTAAATTACAACAGAAAGGGAGGAAAAAAATAGGACAGAAAAAATTAAAATACAAGAAGAGGATAGCAAGATAGAAAAAGAACCAAAGACAAGGTTATTCATTGATAGAGAGTTCTCGTTTACAATCCATCGAAAAATTGTTTATTTAAGAAAGAATTGGATTGTATATAGCAGAAAAGAGTAATATATGCGATGTAAGTAAGGCAATTGATGTAACTATGGTTTCGGTAACGATTTCTGTAATGTGCGACATGTATTTAATAAATAAATTTTATATTGAACCAAATAATAATTAATTATTAAATGTCTCTCAGTGCATTATTAGTATAAAGCAAATAGAAAAAACAAACCGTTAAAATTGTTATTAACGCTGAAATAATATGATTTTAACCAAATAAATTGTACACAGTTTTAATAAGAAGTTCTTGGTTTGTGGTGACTCACCTATATTTTGAAAATTATTAACAAATAACACTTTGTAACATTAGTACTGCAAACAGGTACTATTTTTAATCGCGAGTATCGAATTAATTTAAACCCATCAAATCGTGATCTTACTGTTTCGAGCAATCTCTTCATACTAACAATGAAAAGGATACTGGCAGTTAATGAAGCGACACAATCGAATCTCGCAGCAAGTTCACGCTTAGTGTAAGGAAGGATCGAATATAAACACATAATGTCACTTGTACCCTTACCTTCTGAGGTAATGTACACTTACCTTCTGAGAGGTCGTGCAATAAGAAACATTTCACAAATTGATAAGGAGCGACGTAATTTCGGTATATAATTGGATAATTTTAAGCAACGAAATGCGCACTTACACAAAGCTACTAATATTTGTAATTGAGAATCCACTTTAGAGTAAGTTTGCAACAATTTTGAATTTTAATAACAATAAGTCATATATTTCGAAAAATTAGATTGATTCGTGGAAATTTTAACATTTGACGTTTTTAGTGATAGCATTAATTCACAGATTGGGAAATCTGAAACAGATCATTACTTTAACCACAACAACAATTCTGTGCTGAAAAGCGGTATGATACAAATTAACAAACGGACAAAGTATTTATTTTTTATGAATTTTGTTAATGTTTTTACAGTAAGTAACAGTTGGTAAACCAATTTGACGGTTAGATAAGAGACATAAGAGTAGAATTTACACAATTCTTTATGAACTTAGAAAGGCATGATAGCTATAAAAATTACCTTTTTAAAAAAAGTTACAAAATAGCGCCAGGTACACTGATTGGTAAAATAGTGTTCTTTACATATGCGTATAAGCCTATACAAAAAATTTGTCACATTATATTTTATTTATAGAAAGAACTGTCATATATTTCATCTATTATATTAGATAAAAACTGTTGTATATTCTATTTGTATCATTTTATATAAAATATGACATCAGAAAATAGCGCAAGTGAGAACAAAAATTATATACTTTATTATCACAAAGTTCTATGCAGATTTTTAAAACTAAACATACTTTTATGTAATATACTCTATTGCATTATATAAAATAGCAAAAAAAAAAAGGAAAAAGAAAAACATTAATATTTTTATTTCTAACATATTATAGATAACTTTATTTTTCTAATTTAATTTTAAAGGTTATCTTTAATAACTAATAACTGCATACTACCTGTGTAAAATGAGTCCCCATGTCTCAATGTTTCTATGATGTGTATCCCAAATTGCAATGTAATCTATTTTTGGTATTTTCGTCTGACTTCTTTCATTCAAAAATTGGAATACCTCTTCAGTAATGAGTTGTGCAAATTCGACATGGTGTGTAAATCCCATACTGTGTGTCATGTTTTTTCTACACCAAATTGTGACACGAGCAGGCAAAGTTTGCGATTGGAGAAAAATATTAGTAAATGTGGTTATCACAATCGTTAAACTTTGAATGGGCATGAAAGGCGACTTGTGAAAATGTGTCCATATCATGTTACTTTCATCTATATATTCTTTTGTATTTTTCAACATATTCGATAGGGCTGCCAATTTTATATGATGCATAATAGAAATGGTAAAGGTGCTCTCGAAAGCTGATTCGTTCCAACATGGAAATATTTGTTGGGCTCTTATTACCTCAACACCAGTTTCTGTTAATCTGTTTTATTTTAAAATGTTTTATATAAAATTTTAATCATTATTTGTCTAAGAATTCAATATTTACACTTACGTTTTTAATCCTCTAGTTTCTCTATATAAAGATCCGAGCAAAATTTCATCAAATATGTTGCGGACATATATCATTTGTAAGATATACGTTCCAGGAAATAAAACATTTATTGACGTCTTCGAGAAGTCAATATAAATGTGTGTTTCATTGATAAATGAATATTTTCGCACGTGTATCATTTTATTATCATCATTGATAGTCAAGTAAATTTTAAGTATACCGAAATTTATTGAAGGTATACTTATATTTGTCATTGGACGTGTAATATTGATGGTAATATTGCATTTGCCGTAGAGGATATTTCTGGAGAAGTCGAGTTTTATT